CGATGTCGAATGGTATGGTAGAGAGATTACATCGACAACTTAAAGCTTCTCATACAGCTGTCATCAGCAATATCGATTGGGCCAGCAAGCTCCCATTAGTCATGTTGAGTTTAAGATCAACAGTCAAACAAGATATAGGATGCTGCCCAGCAGAAGTGGTTTATGGAACCACTCTACGTTTACCAGGAGAGGTTTTCACCGCAGGTAAAAGCGTTCCAACTGATATAGCCGACTATGTACAACGTCTAAAGCAGCATATGAGTAACCTAAGGATAACGCTTCCGAGACAACGTCAACACCGTGTGTACATACCCAAACAACTAGGCGACAGTACCCACGTGTTTATCAGAAGGGATAATGTGCAACGTCCCTTACGACTGGCCTACGATGGTCCATTTAAAGTGATTAGAAGAGACGACAAAACTATTACGGTAGATAAAGCTGGAAAGACGGATGTAATTAGCATCGACCGAGTCAAACCAGCTTTCATCGAAACCTTATCAGCTAGTACATACAGATACTGCGAAAACCGTTGAATCATCGAAACGTCAGTTCCAATCATGAACGAACACAGACAAAGAGGATCCAGTAACCACAAGGTCTGGTCGAAGAGTAAGATGGCTCCAACGTTATGTCACTGCAATCTTCTATTAATAATTTTCAACTATTTTAAAATATTAATTATAACTTCCACTTCATTGTATACACATGCATTATTAAGCTCATGTTATACGCTATAAAACTCAATATATCTTATGCATCCCTACACTTACACGTATAATTTTTGTTTAAAATGTAAAGCAGTACCGCATTCCTTCTATTTATTGCTATTATTTTATATAACCTCACGGACGGGCACAAACCAAATGTACAGCACACACTAACTTCATCTTAATTTTGTACAAACCCATTTTTTCAAACGATTGTAACTACCCTATTCAATTTACTATTTTTTTGTGCAAACACGGACATTTTTCCATATATCTTTGTTTGCAGGGGGAGCTATTATAGCGACTCACGTGCAATTGAGTTTAGTTCAGTCAAGGTCTTTTGTTGACCTATTTAATGGACAAAGTCATCCGTGCTATAACAACTTGTTGTACTGTTATTATTATTGTGCTTGTATGAAATGCATATGCTTGAACATTGTTTAGCGCCTGCGCATGTATTCATTCTGCTAGCTTCATTATTAGCTGCTTAATCTATTCGATGACTCATCCATTTCCCTATATATATATATATATATATATATATATATATACATTTACACTACCACTACTGCTACTGCTACAATCGTAGTTCGCTTGCTCATTCATTTTGCCTCTCTGCTGTGTGGTCCGAATTATCTGCTAAATAAACTGCAGTAGCTGCTTCTTTTTGCCTTCTGATCTCAAACACCGTTGAAGATTGTACGACAACGGTTCGAGGGTGATTAGTTATCAAAGCACAGCCACTACACTATCTATAGCCTAAGCTTGTTCTACATTATGTATTGGTGATTGTTACAATACAGTGAGTTGGTGTAGATGATGATGTGACTTCCACGTAAGATCCTATAGATTAAGCAGTTATATCATGACCAATCTACAATTTTAGGATTAGGTCTATTATTAGAGCAGTACTAATATCATGGTGGACCATAATTCTACAAGGTATCGCAATTGCGATACTCCCGTTTTTCGACTGTACCGAAGGAAAATCGAAGTGTATAGGGTTTCCTTTTAAATAGGCTGCTTTGGTCCAGTCATTGCCGATGCAGTCGTTGGTTTCGTTCTTATCGATTATATAATACCTAGGTTCATTCTGAAGAATTTTGAAGGGTCCTTTATATGCCGTTTCGCGAGGTCTTTGAAGTGAGTCGCGACGAACAAAGACGTGTGTACTATACCGTAGAGTAGGTTTATCTGAACGCAATGCGTTTGTTAGTCTGATCATGCAAGAGTATAGATCCATAATCATTGAAGAAGACGAAGGATCCACGCATTCCCCTGGAATTCGAAGTGTCTTTTCATAAACGAGTTGAGCTGCAGTGTATTCAGCGTCAGCTTTCACCGTATTGCGAATACCGAGTAAAACGAGTGGAAGAGCGTCGGTTTACTACGAAACGTTCAAAGCTGAGAGTGAGGATTTAGGCTGTCGGTGAAAGCGTTCTACCAACCCGTTTGCCTGTGAGTAGTTTCTAGTAGTGTAGTCAGACAACGGAAAAGCTAAGACTCAAACTGGCGTCCACAGTCTGTAGGTTTAGTTGAAGGGTATCCAAAGTTTGCTACATATCGTTCGAAGAAGGCGTGGGCCACTGTTTTATTAGTAACGTCCTTGATCGTACTGCCGCTAGTCATAGAGTGAAACGGTCTACAAAAGTTGGGAGATAAGAGTCCTACTAAATCCGAATGAACATGGTCGGAACGAACACCGAGAGTTTTGAATGAGCCTATTGGACACTTGTTGTTTTTAATCACCTCAGGTTTCGAACACCTTACACAGGAGCGCTCCCGCTACCCAACGTCTTTATTCATAACAGGCCAACAAAATTGTTCTGCTATGATCTTGGTGGTTGCATGAATACCTGGATGAGAAAGCTTGTGCAGCCTATTGGAGACGGTGCGTCGATAATGTTTCGGCACTTTTGGAAGATCCCTAACTGTAGATGTGTCGAGCAGTAAAGTTTTCGCAAATGTTCCCACATGTTTAATACGCAGTTTTACGGTTGTTCAAGATAACCCGTGCCAAAGATCAGTGTTTTTTTTTGAAGGTGGGTGAGTTCAAGGAGGTCGATTCCTTGAAAACTATTATAGGGAGTCATATGAGATAAGGCGTCTGTAACTACATTGTTTACCACAGAAATGTCTTTTATATCTGAAGTAAACTGCTAGATGTAATCCAGTTGTCGAGACTCTCGAGAGAAGTGCCTGTCTGAAGATGCACTTAAAGAGAATGTAAGAGGTTTGTGATCGGTGAAGAGGGTGAATTCTCGGCTTTTCATTGTAATGAAACTGCCGTACAGCACAATACATCGCTAGGAGTTCCCCACTGAAAGTGCTATACCTCGATTCGGTGTCTAGCTACCGTCGCGAGGAGAATGCCAAAGGTTGTTAGGTGTGGTTAACCCGTTGTTGTAAAACTTCTCTAGTTATCAAGCTGAATGAGTCTACTGAGATAATAATGGGTGCTTCAGTATTCTGATGTGCGAGAAACGCTGCTTTAGCGATAAGTTCCATAACTGTGGAGAATGCTCTTTCGCGATGTCGTCCAAGTTGACGATTTTTGCATTTCCACGAAGTTCGCCTGTTGATCGTCTCATAAGGGACGCTTAGTTTGGTATGAACCGTCTACGGAAACTTACTAGGCCGTTAAACGTGCGTAGTTGCTTGACTGTGGTCGGTCCTGGGTAATGAGGAATGACTACCATCTCGTTTTCTAGAAGTCGGATGCCTCGAGCATCTATAGTGTGTCAGAGAAAATCTAGAGAGTCGATATGGTAATGTGTTAAATCGTCAATGTGATGCAACGGGTATCGATCAGGAATGGTTTTCGCATTCAACCGCCGATGGCCACCACTACGCCAGTCGTTGCTCTGATTTTGTGGCACCATATGCAAGGGAGATGCTCATGGGCTGTCTAATGGCCGACTGATTCCTACGTCTACCATGTGATTGAATTCGTACTTAGCCAATCTCAGCTTTACGAGAGCTAGTCGTCGCGCTTTCGAGAATACAGGTGGTCCTGAAATCGTGATGTGTTATATAACATTGCTTGGTTACGCATGGCAATATCAGTCGCGTTTGACATATCTCGGGGTATTTATCGAGTTTAGATGGTGGTTGGAGGTAGTCGACAGGAAACCCTAGACACGGGTTTCGTGCTACTTGGCACTCGTCAGCAAAAAGTACCTGTAATCTTGAGGAAACTGGTGCTGCCCTGACGGATTCGACCCCGTGGAACCCGGCTTCACAGCCAGAGGCGTTATCACTGAGCTATCCGGACCGCAGTGTCGAGTCACCTAAACTAGTGGCCACATCGCGACTTACCCAGTTTATGACCATACAACGGGTTCCAAAACTTTCCATTTTTTAACTTAAGACCCAAATAGAAGACCTTATTAAGGGCTTTACTTAGACCCATGAAAATCACATCTACAGGAATATTTCGATCTTTTGCCGCGGCACAATCTTCTCTTGGGATGAGAAGATTTGTCAAACATGATAGGCCTTTCCGAAAACCATGATGTTCCCAGGACAAAAAATTATACCCTTCCTCACAGTTTATAATAGCCATCCGAATAATTTTTTCCATTACTTTTACAACTGCACCGGTTAGATTAACGGGTCTATAGTTACTGACTAAATCTCTATTCCCTGCCTTATACACCGGACTAATTGTTGCATCTTTCCAGTTTCTTAGCAGCTTGAACTGACGCAGAGGCATATCAAACAGTGCGGCTATAGGTTCAGCAATTACATCCGATATGGCTTTCATAATCCTAGGATGATTATCATCAGGCCCACTGGACTTATCAGGTTTGAGATGCTGAAGTAGTGTTTAGGCAGTACCTTTCTCAATAACTAAGGGGTTCATCAAGAAGCCGTCACAATCACAACAGTATCATGATGCCACATGTCACTCATAACAGCCTTCATTCCTCACTCATTTTAGTGCCGAACAATACTTACTAGGAAAGCTATTCATAATAGAACAAGAACTAGCTCTACGTGATTCTGATAAGTTATAAAACCCCCTACCCAAGGACATAGTGTTGGTGTTGTCTGCTGATTATTGTGGGGGGAAGGTTTCACAGCTAATTTACTTCCATAGATACTAAGGATTATTACTCCACGAATTGCGCTATGGTCGCTCCTACAGTTAATGACCAACTTATTTAATCTCTCACTTCAGAAGTCAGATTGCAAGAACTAAAATTTCATACTACAAAAATGCCTTCAAACTATCCAGATGTAAATTCGAAATAACAAGTAGTTAGCAAAATTTAGCAAACAAAGATTGAGGTTTGAGCTTGGAGTAATTTGTAGCGGGTAGTGTAAACGGTATCGGACAAGTTGCTTGGTTTTTGGTAGCTTGACTGGCTTCGAATCTTGTAACTTTAGAGATCTCAGTGATTTCTTGTTCCAATGGCAGATAGTTCTAAGAACCCAGTGAAGTTATGGAATAACTGGCGGGACTCGCTATGTTCCCAAAGCTACCTGTTTGATCTATAAGGAAGAAAAAGACAGTATTTATCATGTATAAAGTCTTTTTCTAGGTATTCTTCCAATTGTAATTAGATAGCCTCGCAGTCTGCGCCGTGTATAATAAGCTTCGTAATTGCTCACTTGACTATCTGTACTTTTTGAGAACGTCTAACTCACCTTTCAGTCAAGGGTCTACGACATAAATGCAGTCTTTTAGTTCGGGTTTCACTGAGCCTTTATGCATTTTGGTGAAGGCGTTTCCACCCATCCAATTCGTCTGAATGGCCATAGGGTTTTAAACCTTTTATCTCCAATCAGATGACCATGACTACGATTTCTACGTCATCATAAAACAGGACCGACGACTCTGGCGTTTCATTCGACTGACCATCCAGCTCGAATGTTTTAGTCTTGGTTATGCAAGTTTTGATTGATGCCTATTAACGCGATTAATTGTTTGTTTATGCCCGTCGCAATTTCAGATGATAGTGATTATATTATCAGGGGAAATTCGGTGTCTTTATTCTTGAATCAACAACCTAGGAACTGTCTAACAATGATTAAAAGGATACTTAGGAAACGGATCTAGATGTCATATCCCCTCTCTTATGTTAGGAATATTCAAAAGAGATCGCAGAATTGAAAACAAGGGCGAGCAAAGTTATGGTGTCGTATAGGTTTGCTAACCGAGTAGTCAACTCTTGAGACGTACGTCTGTAAGTATTGTCGTTGCATGTATCTGAAATTATTCAAGAGAGGTCTACGGTGTACAGAACTTTGCTTGAAAAGAGCTAACACAGGTCATCATTCTTCCGTTTCCAATACTCAAATCTGGATCTTAAGGGAATCTTTCTGGATGTACTTTGTCTTGCTTCCTACCTATTTTAGTCGTCAGTCGAACAAGCTTAATAAACGTAGAGTGGTTGAAATTCTATTACCAGTAAAGGTGCATTCGTTTTCTCCATTTCATAAGTATGTTACTGAATACACTAGCACCTGTTTACCCTTGTCTTATTTCTTCCCTATTGTGCTAGTGTCTTTACTCTGATGTGTTATAACGTGGTTTTCTCATCACTATATTAGGTGGTCAGAGTGTGCGAGTTCAGTATAATTGGTATACTACATCGTGAAAGTGTAGATCTTCCATGTATTTGTGTGTGATTCTACTCTTCTTGTTTGCAACTTTTCAGTTCTTTCTTTCGACACAAGTGTTATACAGCTGTACGCAAGACATGTTTCGTATGAACATTTGTCGAAATTTAGGCGAACACTTGGCGAAACTTGGCTACTAAGTCTTTCTGTAGAATTTCGAACCAGACTGCCGGGCGAAACATTACGGTTTTGGTGTTCCAGATATTTCCTTATCGTCGGTTTGTAATTATCCTGGTAGTAGCTTCAAGCGTATTGTTGGATTTCGAGGAAGCATTTCAAATTCCTGAACGATTTTAACAATTTTGAATGCAGATAACTTGCTTTCGAGAGGTTGTTAGGTTCTGAAATCCCTTACAATTTAGCTAAGGCCGTCTCACAGTTGTTAGTCTTGTAGCTATCAATGCCAAGGTTGGACTTGATAGTTTCAAATAAATTTGGCATTGGGTAATAAGTTAATAGTAAATATCTTTTTGTGATATTCCTTTGTACTATTTAAACTCATGTTAGTTTCATTCCGGTTATTTATTTACTCTAAAGAAGTGACTTACATTAATTCACAAAACATCTGAAATACAATTTTCTACACGTTGGGATATCAAAAAATATATTTATTATTTGTTAGTCTTGGCTTTTTAAGTTACAAGTGATAAATAATTGTTTGTCTTTTTTCCCTGGTGTTTCTATTAAGTGTAGCTAGTATATTCTCCCGGAACTAGTTAAAATAACTAAATTGACGTACATCAGCTAATCGTGTTGGCATTCTTCAGGTTTCACTTCGTCTAGTGATGGCAGGTTATCCTCACCACTTTGTTACTGCTCACCTTGGTTATCCTGGTTATGCTCACACAACCTTCGTGCCTGCGTCGATTTCTAATCCAGCCAACTCTGTCACCCAGTTATCAGCTGCTCAAATCAATGCAGGATGGGTAGAGCACCATTCTCATGATGGGAGAAAATACTACTATAATACATTCACTCAACAGACGACTTGGGAAAAACCTCAAGAGTTGAAGACTCAGCGTGAGAAAATACTTTGCAACTGTCCATGGAAAGAGTTTAAATCCGAAAACGGTAAACCTTACTATTTTAATGAGAATACAAAACAATCAGTATGGATCAAGCCACAAGAACTAATAGACGCTGAAAACCAAGCAGCCGCCTGTAATTCAGCTGTAAATGCTACGGTCCCCGAACAGCCACCAAGTATCCCCCCAGTCACACCGTGTACACCAGCTACCCCGAAAGATGACGTCAATAAGCCTCCTGAACCTTCGGAAATTGAACGGGCAATGAAGGCAACTTTGGCCTCTTTTGATACGTCAGATACTGGACCTTCATCAATTTCGATTCCACTACCTCCGGAAAAAGTAGATGACAGTGATAAAGATGAAAGTGACGAAGAGAAGCCTGTATCCAATCCACATATAACTACATTTTCACCAAATACTCAGACAGTGCCAGAATATAAGACCCGAGGAGAAATGGCAGAAGGTCTTAGGAGGCTTTTCAGGGATTGCAATGTTCCCGGTGGGGCTACATGGGAGCAAGCACTAAAGTTAATCTCTGGGGATCCTCGTTACTGTATCTTGAGAACGTTCAATGAAAAGAAGCAAATATTTAATGTTTACAAGACTCAAAGGTTAAAAGAAGAACGCGAGGAGCAGAGAATAAGAATTAAGAGGGCAAAAGAGGATCTAGAAAAGTATCTTTTGAAATGCAATAAACTACACTCAACTATGTCATACCGTAGAGTAGATCAACTACTGTCGGATACGAAAGAATGGACTGATGTCCCTGATCGAGATCGTCGTGAAATATTCGATGATGTCATTCAAGAGGTAGGTAAACGTGAAAGAGAAGAGGCTAAGATTTTACGTAAAAGGAATATACGAGTATTTAATGAAATCCTTAGTGAGATGCTTGATCTTACATATCGGACGACCTGGAGCGAAGCACAACAAATGCTGCTTGATAATACCAGGTTAGCTAAATATACTTATTTAATTAATTTTCGCTATTAATGTTATGTAATATGCACTTAATTAAATCGAACCGACAAGAGATTCTTACCAAATTCATTTATGTGCCATTTTTGTTTTAAAAAGACAGATTTTGCCCTTATTTTAGTGATTGGTGTTTGTTTGTTCTACAGATGGTACTAATTTGAGTAAATAATCTATGTGTAACTATTAGAACAGTTCTCACACTCGATGCGCATTTGTGGTTTCATATAAGCATGAAAGGAAAACGACACATTGATTACGAACGCCAGACTTGAAACTGGGAACAAGTTTTTGGATAGTTCTACAGTTTTATTCTCAGTGTTACTACAATAAGCTGTTAAAACCCCAATTGTTTTTTGAAATTGGGTAGTAGGTTACTAAATAGCAAGTAACGTTTATGTTAATAGGATGATGAGTAGTAATCGGTATGATATTATATAATTTGTGGTCACAAAATCATATTAATCAAGTTTTCACTGCGCTCACTAAGCTAAATGACAAGACATTGTGGCTCACTTTGTTTTGATGCGAAGTTGTGAGAAGTAATTGACAAGATGTCTTGAACCTAGGTTTCGTGCTTGTTGGGATTCCCCAACATGTTTTTTATTCCCGTGAACATTTTGTTTCTGTCCTAACCATATTCTTTATTTTCAGCCCTTTTACTGTCATTATTGCTGATATTACTTCTACTCCTTCGTTATTCATCCTGTTAATTTCACCGCACTGTACTTGTGTGACGTAAAAACTCGAACTGACACGTGCCTAAAGTCTTCAAGAAACTGATGTTCCGCTTTACAATAATTCAAAACTGTTTTAACCGATGCTATAGTCATAAGTGTTACAGCTGAGCTATTTAGATAGAAACTAGAATGTAAAACAGGTAATTGAAATAATCAGTCAATATTTGAGGATGGTAAATAAATCCAGTCGCACCACTGTGACGGAATTTGAGCCATGTCGCCAAACGTCTCGAGCTATTGATGACGATTATTATGTAACCTCAACCAGCAAGTTCTCACCTGCTGTCAGTAAGGTCGTGGAAGATGCCTTAATTTAACCACCGTTAGCTTTTTCCTAATTCCACGTCACCCAACATTGCAGGTTAGGTGGTGTTTAGACAAGCGCATTTCCTATTGATCTTGATTGATGAAGGTATATATTCTGATCAGTGGACTTGGGATTTTTACTTAGTATGATTGATCTAACCTCAGCAGTGCTCTGTCGTTCCACTGTATTTGGAAATAACTTAAAAGAAACAATAAAAATCTTTCACACTGCCTATGTCACTTTCATTGGGGGATGTTTGGCAGACGTAGAATAATGTAGAACAAACTGGTTTTCAGTGCAACTACCCCTTGATTGCGAGATAGAAATCCCACTTATACCATAGACAACTCAGATTAGTAGGAATTATTCTTTTTATGTCTTAAGAAATTTTTTCGGACAACAACCTATCAGTATTGATCAGAATTTCAAGGTAAGTTAACATGCTCAACTACCTCACTCCCTAAGGTCAAACTACGGACTAATACTGACTATTTATGGTGTAAAATTGTACAATAGGAAGAACATTAATACTCTTCCGGCTCGCTTACAATGTTACTTAAGGTGTTCAAGCAATCGGTTTCTTTCCAGTTTCCATCAAGCGGGACATTGTCATCTGTGTATTCCGGTTTGATAGTTAAATGTGGTGGGGGATCAGTCAAATCTTTAAAACGTCTAACGAATGGAGCTTTAATTTTGAGAGGATGTCTGCCTATTCTGAGTCAATCAATTTGGTTTCCATGTTATTGACATCCACAACTGTTTTCTACTTATTAGCTGAATTTAGGCTAGTAGTCTCGTAATATATCACATTGCTTTATCTGTTCCGACTGTTAGCCTTCTGTGTATTTTTAAATTTACACTAATGCTAGATTTACTGGAGATGTGGATTTGCAAAACTTAGATAAAGAGGATGCGCTTGTCTGTTTTGAAGAGCATATTTGTATGCTTGAGCAAGAGCACGACGAAGATAAAGAACGCGAACGTCGGAGACAAAAAAGGGAACAACGAAAGAATCGAGAAGCATTTATAGTTTTACTTGATGAATTGCACGAACAGAAATTACTCACTTCTATGTCTCTATGGAAAGATCTATACCATATAATAAACAAGTAAGCGATTTTATGTTAATTTTAGTACATTATTTTTCGACTCTGATAATTCAAAACAGTATAGAAATTTATGAAGTTTTATGAAAAATAGTAAACCGTACAGAAAAAATCAAGAAATTATTTGCTAGTTTATCCAGTCTAGCTAAAACTATATGAATAAACACAACGTGCGGGAACCCATCAATGAAGAAACAAGGTCAGTCAGTCAGTCAGCTACAACGTAGGACCAGGCACATATATGCATCGGTCCAAGTTGCCATACCTCATTAACACAACAAGATAAACACCGGATTCATATAAGTGGTTAATTCAGAGGTGGTAATATATAAAAGAAAGATTGCAATAAGGATATAGTACAGGAAGAAAGAATTGGTTCGTAAAAAGAAAGATATGAAGTGATTTTAATCTCTTAGTTTAAGAGAAGACAGGAGTGTATACACCGACGCCATTGTGATCGATTCTGAGCCATGTCACCAAGAGTCTCCAACCATTGGTTACGATAGTCACGCGGACCCCAACCAAGTAGTCTGCATCTACCAACATGGCTCAGACTACAAGTTAGTGACTTCAAGCACTGATGCCACGTTTTGGTTTGGCCGCCCCTAACTTTCTTCCAACCATCCCCAACACTAGTCAGCATTGCACGTCGTGGTAATCGGTGTTCAGGCATACGTAACACGTGGCCCAACCATCTCAGTCGATGAAGATTCACAACCTCATCAACTGATTTACCATCATTCCCTAATACCCTGCGTCTAACCTCACTATTACTTACCCGGTGATCCCAGCAGACGCCAGCAATATTTCTAAGGCATCTGTGGTCAAATACTAGTAGCTTACGAGTGTCTTCTACTCTTAATGGCCATGTTTCGCTGCCGTAAAGTAAAACAGAACGGACTGCCGCGCAGTATACTCGTCCTTTTATTGATAGACGGATATCTCGCCTTCGCCACAGGTGACGTAAGTTGGCAAAAGCCAAACGAGCTTTCGAATCCGTGCTGAGATTTCGTCAGACACCAACCCATTAGGGCTGATCAGACTTCCAAGATAAGTGAAGTTGTCAACGCGTTCGACTACTTCACTCCCTATCCTTAGTTCAGGTGTTGACGCAGACCAGTCCTGAAGCAACAACTTGCATTTAGAGGGAGAGAAGCGCATTCCAAACATTCTGGCATTGTTGCTTAGTGCTACCAGAAGACTCTGCATTTTGTCAGCGTCTTCACCAAACAGGACTATGTCATCTGCGTATTCTAAGTCGATAAGTGGACCTCCTGGAAGGAGATCAATACCCGAGAATTCAGTCGACGAGAAAGTTATTTCCATCAGTAGATCTATGATGAAGTTAAACAAAAATGGGGAAAGTGGACAGCCTTGACGGACACCACTTGAGGTTGCAAAAGTAGATGACAGTTCGCCATAAGCCCTGACTCGACTAGTAGTGTTCGAGTAAAGAGCCTTCACAAGGTTTATGTACTTCTGGGGTACGCCTTTCAATGACAGACACTGCCACAGAATCTCGCGGTCTACAGAGTCAAATGCTGCTTTTAAGTCGAGAAAGACCACCATTGTCGGACGCCGATAAGTATGCCTGTGTTCTAGAACCTGACGAATGGTGAATATGTGGTCGATGCAGCCACGACCAGGTCTGAAGCCAGCTTGGTTCTCTCGTGTTTGCAGTTCACGAGTCTTAGTTAGGCGTTTGATAATTATCGAGGCTAGTATTTTAGATATTACATTAGTTAAACTAATCCCTCTGTGGTTGTCACAGGATGATTTTGACCCTTTCTTATATATTGGGACGATAAGTGATTGTGACCAGTCAGATGGGATAACGTCTAACTCCCAGATCTTAGCTAAAATATTAGTCAACCTAATCGCTAAAATTGGACCACCATCCTTAAAGACCTCTGGAGCCAGTCCATCTGGACCAGCTGCCCTTCCTCGTTTCAGATTAACTATAGCCTTCTCAACTTCAGCAAGAGTTGGGGGACCTACTTCAATGTTCCATTCACACTGTCTGGGAATGGAGGGTAGTTGTAGAGTAGCTGAAGGCCAGCTGAACTGTTCTCTGAAATGTTCCGCCCATCGTTCTAAACGTCTGGACTGGGAGCAGATGAGAGTATCGTCTTTTTCCGAAATAATCTCACTTACACTTGACTTATTAATTCCAGTTTCTTTTATTAGTCTGTAAAGCTGTCTTGTGTTCCCTATAGTCGCCGCCTTTTCCATCTCTTTTGCTTTCGTTGCCCACCACTGCTCACGGTCGTTCCTTAGACTTTTTCTTAACCTAGATCTGATTTGTTGTCGCTCTTCATCATGTTCAGAACCTGATGGGACGAGTTTGCGAGAATCCATCAGTGTGATAGACCTTGAAGAAATCCACTGGTTTTTGTAACTCTGTGGTTTAAGTCACTAATAGATGTCACTGCTGTTTCCACAGCTGCTTGTATGTCTTCCAAGCAACATCTGGGTCAGCCTCGTCTTCAGAACTACCTAAGTGTGAACTCAGTTGTTCCTGGAACCTACTTTTGGTTTTCTCGTTACTCAACTCAGTTCTAATGGGTCTTTTTAATGTGGCTTTTTTGCGTCCAGTGAGGCGCAAGCAGATGCGTGCCCGTATTAGGGCATGGTCGGAGTCCAAGCAGGTACTCCAGAATGAGCGACAATCTTCTACCGACCCTCTCCAACGATGACTGATGGCAATATGGTCTATTTGAGTCCATCGTTGGTTTGGTGTAGGGGGTCGCCATGTTAGACGATGTCTCTCCTTATGCTTAAAATTTGTGTTTGCTAAAAATAAACGATTGTCTGAGCATAGTTGCAGCAGACGATCACCATTATCTGTTCGCTGTGTCGGAATACTAAAATATCCACCTAAATGCCTTTCTGTTTGGTTTAAACTACCTATCTGAGCATTAAAGTTGCCCCCTACGAGTACTATGTCTGAGCGTTTAGCTTTCTGAAGAAGTTCGGACAGCTTTCTGTAAAATTCATCTTTCACTTCATCTGAGCTGCAGTCAGTGGGAGCGTAGGCAGAAACGACAAAAAGGCAACGACGTGTGTCCCTATCCTTCCGAGTTCTTACGTAGCCGTTTAGCCGAACAGCACATAGACGACTGTTGACGGGGATCCACTCTAGCAGTGCTTGTTCGGCCCTCATGCTTAGTGCTATGCCTACACCTGCCAGTCCACGAGAACTGGCCATCGGGTCACCAGATACACGGAGGGTGTATCTCGTTGGCTCTCCGTTTGCCGAGGTGAGGTCAAGTGAATGACCACACTGGAATCCTGTATGCGTGTTTCGGAGACACAGCATACATCAATGGAAAGAGACTCTAGGGTTTTAGCCAAGGAAGCCTGCTGACCGATTTGACATAGGGTGCGTACGTTGAAGGCTCCAATGTGTAGTTTGGAGCGAGGTTTCAGTAGACCTGGGACAGAGTTTTGAGCACTAGAATCGTTGGCTATGGTGACACTTGAGGAGGAAGCCGAAGAGGAAGTTTAGAGTTGAAAGTCGATGTAGGAGGAATAATAGGAATTGAAGAGGAAGGTTGATTATGAATACAGTGGTCTTGAGTGCTGTTAGAGGTATGAGGGCGGTTATCACTTCCCGGTTGCCCACACCGTGGAAGGGTTGTTCTGGAGGTACCTGAAAAGGAAATTGGATTAGAGGTGGTCTCAGTGACCTGAGAGCGTGACCGCAGTGCCCAAGGGACAACTGCTTGAGGCCGGTCGCGCACGGCCTTTTTGTGGAAGGTTTTTAAGTGTTAGCTCCGTTCTTCAAAGGGCCTTACCGCCGGAGACGGAAATCCGTGACGTAAGGTGAGGTGTGCATTTTTAGGGTCGACCTTTTCTAACCCCACCCCTCCTTGTGGGAAGGCAGCATCGCTGTCATGCTGGTTGTCTGAAGGAAACACCTTACTGCTGTCACACCTCTGTACAGTCAGCAGTACGACTTCGCCTTCGGACCTTGGGTTTGTTGCTTTTAGTCTTACCGCTCTTCAACCGACCTGTCTGACATGGTAGGACCTTGAGGAACGGTTGTTCCAGCCAGTATAGCTCGGTTGCTTCATCACGATAGGCAAGCCCGACCACCACGTCAAGGTAGCAACAACGGTCGAGGAAGAAACAAGGTACTAAAGGAAAATGACCAAAACGACAATTAAATACATAGTGTTATATCCTGGTGAAGATTACATTACGAGTAACGTCTGAGACTTATTAATGGACTTATTATTTATATATTCTCATGGTATAAATATTCGGTAACTAGATTATGTATATCTATATTCCCCTTGTTATAGGCTTTATTTTGACTTATAATTTATTATTGTACGATTTACGGTTCTTAAGCCATGTTCAGTTTATTGACTACTGCCTCCCACGTTCACAGCCACTTTTTGGCTTTATTATGTACAAATGTTATTTCCTATTTTATGGTGCGTTGTGGTCTGTTTGGTTGATATATAAACCCAGTATGTGTAAAATGAAAGATTCGATTCGATTCGCATAGTGGAAGCTGGTATTGGTGTTCTGGACTCAAGTGGACGGACTAGGCGGAGATAGGATCAATAAGAACGCTAGGCTGCTCATACCGGTCGAACGTCATTGGTTTGTCACAGTGCTAAGATAGTATAAGTCGTATTTTGATTGGTGGATAAGTCACGTGATAAAAAGCCGGACATAAAGTCATAACACATGGGACTGTGTTGAATATAAGATTGTTCAAGGAAATAAACTATACACATACTTCCTGTAATTTCACTTAAATCTGTCTTCTACAGTTGACGATCATCCACTTTAGTTGTTTTACAGACATTCATGAAGCTTATGTCTTCATGGATGAGATCATGTAAGAAGCTATCAATTTTATCACTTGATGCTATATATCTTTCCGGTCATCAAGAAACTGGTTTTATACTTCAATTTCATCTAGTCTAGGACGGTTGAAGTGCTTATTCCAACTTCCCAGTTGTTTAGTGCTCACAATCTCGTCAGCCAATCTAATTTTATAGATTACTCTGAGCTTAACAGTAACATTGCTCCTTTTGTGGTTAAGTATTCAATCAAGGTTGTAAAACAGCTGTGATATTGTTCTGTCTGTAATTATTTTGTGAATTTCTTCTTAAAAATGTACTAAAACTTCATTTCTATGCTCTTAGTATACCGTACTAATTAAACTCCTTCATCACTACTATAAAAAGAAAAAGGGATGATAGGTTTTTTAAAAATTTCAGATCCATACTCTAAGTCTTATTCGTCTCTTTAATCTTGCTTCAGTTTCTCATACTATTAGGCAACAGCTAATGTTAAGGAGCGGTGGTCTAGTGATTACTGTGCTCCGTTTCCAGCCGTTAAGTTGTGTATTCGAATTACGTTCAGCCTACTTTAGCTGAGTATTATTACTGGCTATCACAATATGACCCAAGACCTGTTACATAAACCTGTGTTTGATAATATAGCCACACAATAATAACCAAAGTTTTTCTAATAGATACCCTTCAGATTTCTCTCTAATGACTATGGACTTTGTTCCAAAGTATTTTACTCAGTTTAAGATTGCATCCAAGGCTGATGATAGCTCTTCATGTGCATCACGTGCCATAGCCAGCTCGTTTGGTATTGGTTTATTTAATCTCTGCCTAAAACTGCAAATTCAACCTCAAAACAACCAATATATCGACAGTTAAGTATTTGAAAAATACAGACAACGAGAAATGTATAGTCCCGCGTCTTTCGCTTTTATCATTCTATCTTACAATCATGGAGTATATTAGCTCATGTGATGGGAAATATGGATGGCTTGTCAACATCAAACACGTAAATTTTTGACATCCGTTATAGATGACAATTATCGTTATTGATATGTATTCTTCAATATTCTTTACATGTACAAATGAGCTTTGATACAGTAACCTATAACAGATATATGGTGAAACGAAATTTCGTTTGATTTGACGCTAAGTCTTCATACTTTGTGTGTACTTTCGACTGTTTTAGGGATGATCGATTTCACAAAATGCTTGCTCAACGTGGTTCTACGCCATTGGATTTATTCAAGTTCTATGTTGAAGCATTAAGAGCTCGTTTCCCAGCTGAAAAGAAGATTATCAAAGAGATTTTAAAATACAATTGTACACCAATCGACTTGTCTGTTTCATACGAAGATTTTTGTTCGGTAAGTTTATTGTTTTCTGTAGTGAATCTCTACAATGTAACAGTTTAAAGTGTTATCATAAGGTGTTAGCATTATTACCATTTTGTGTAATGTTAGCTGAAATTTAACCTAATCTATTTGTAATCATTTCAACTTATGATACTTTACTTCAGTGTCATAATGATGTATTCTTTTGTAGGGGAATTCCAGTTTTTATTATGAAGCCGTTTCGCTTGTTAAAATAATGAGGATATTAATCACTAAATGAAACGCAATGTTGCAGTGTATGCCGAGCGATGGCTGTTCACCAGATTGAGTTGTTGATTTAAATAATATCAAAAGACAAGTTAATAGAATAAATTTGTTTCCTAGCAAATTAACGTATAATGTACAAGATGTTAAATACAAAAATAAACATGATTAAATATCATAAGCAAATGCAAAATGCTAGTTTTGTGACTTACCCACACTTTAGTAGAACTAAGATCGGGTTATCAGGTTTAATCATTGCTAGTTTTACGATTGTTCACTCATTTCTGTGTTTATTTTTTGTTTCTGTGTTGCAAAGCATGGATACTTGGATTGATGATGTTATTTGTCTAACAAACCATTTTGATCTAGCTTCACGTTTTCATCAACGAATTCATCTTTTAGTGAATTAAACTCTAAATCCTATACCCACTAGTGTTTCATTTAGGGTTTAATTATGTTGTCTGTTTTTAACTTGTGTGTTTATTTTCACAAGAATAAGAAAATTGTTTTCTAGTCATTTGATTTGTGTTCTGACATCACTTTATTGAGGGTCGAGGCGTTTTCATTAATAATCTGGTTCTGTACGTTGTTATTCGTCAACTGGATCGTATGAATGAAATCGCGTGAAAAATAAAATCCCGTGAAAACGAAATCTTCAGTGAACTGCAGTTTGTCTTTTTTTCTCTCCTAATATGTGCTTGAATGCGCAACATGTTCTATTAACATAAACCTGTTTTCACACTGGTTCATGTTGTTACATAGTTCATGTTTAAAAACAGTGGATCCTTGTCAGTAAAGTGCAAAGTCCATAATTTCTTCTGCAGAACTCAAAAATTAACTGATTGGTAATTATTTTATATCTAAATAACAATGGAGTTCTACATTTTAATATCAAGTTTTGGGATATTTTTCAGATAATAGGCTCTGATGAACGCAGCAAAGGAATAGATGACGGAAATATGCGTATGACATATGATGGTCTACTAGAAAAAGCTCAAGGTCGTGAACGTGAACGCCAAAAAGACGATGCTAGGCGTATGAGAAAACTTGAACAAAACTTCTGTGAAATGCTTACAAATTCCTCCTTTATTCAGTCCAATACTAGTTGGGAAGAAGTTCGAGAAAAATTAAGTGACCATCCTGCCTTCAAAGTAAATTTCCCATTTCTCTCTTGTATTTTAATCTCAATGTCAGTTGGTTTTTGACTTATTAGTTTGATTGGTAGCCTTTCATGATTAGATTCTAAATAAACTGATTCAACTTTATAAGCATATATGCATGGTGGTTAACAGTAGGGTCCAGGACGCGCGTCTCGTCCAATATGGGACTCGTTAGCCGGATGTACCTGCATCTCAGAGTTGATGTCCACTCCGGGACTCGAACCCAGTACTGTTCGCCTCAGACGCCATCACCTTATCCACTTAGCTACTGAGTCCAGATAGCCACTAGGTTGTGCAATGAGGTAACGTTTTAATTCATTTTTGTATTGGTTGTTTGAATCTTCCCATTGGTGTTTAGGACTGCAATTGATCAGTCCTATCTCTGCTTACAGGCAATCCGCACAGGATGCACATATGCCAAACTGATTTGACTGATGCATTTAGTCAATTTTGAATATTTTGCCTGTGGAAATCAGGCTTCGAAAATCATCATTGTCGTTGGTTTAAGATTGTCATTTTCATTTCTTAGGTTTTAATTACATTCCACCTCAGTTTAAACATTTCATTGTACCACGTTACTCTTTATCTGCTCGAATATTCAAGCTGTTGAAATTTCCATCTCCAGTTTCTTAATAAGAATAACACTTCTGTGTTTTGGTTTATTTCGTTTCTATGTAACCATATTTAACTGGTGTATTATTATTATTGTTATTATTATCATTATTATTACCAACGAACGTAATGCTGATCATTATTTAAAAAATAAGTATCTTTCTGAAATGGTAGGGCTCTGAAAATAAATTCCCCGAGAAGACTGCATTGAACCAATCTTTCTTGTTCAGGACCGTTGTTGCTACCTTGACGTGGTGGTCGGGCTTGCCTATCGTGATGAAGCAACCGAGCTATACTGGCTGGAACAACCGTTCCTCAAGGTCCTACCATGTCAGACAGGTCGGTTGAAGAGCGGTAAGACTAAAAGCAACAAACCCAAGGTCCGAAGGCGAAGTCGTACTGCTGACTGTACAGAGGTGTGACAGCAGTAAGGTGTTTCCTTCAGACAACCAGCATGACAGCGATGCTGCCTTCCCACAAGGAGGGGTGGGGTTAGAAAAGGTCGACCCTAAAAATGCACACCTCACCTTACCTCACGGATTTCCGTCTCCGGCGGTAAGGCCCTTTGAAGAACGGAGCTAACACGTAAAAACCTTCCACGAAAAGGCCGTGCGCGACCGGCCTCAAGCAGTTGTCCCTTGGGCACTGCGGTCACGCTCTCAGGTCACTGAGACCACCTCTAATCCAATTTCCTTTTCAGGTACCTCCAGAACAACCCTTCCACGGTGTGGGCAACCGGGAAGTGATAACCGCCCTCATACCTCTAACAGCACTCAAGACCACTGTATTCATAATCAACCTTCCTCTTCAATTCCTATTATTCCTCCTACATCGACTTTCAACTCTAAACTTCCTCTTTCGGCTTCCTCCTCAAGTGTCACCATAGCCAACGATTCTAGTGCTCAAAACTCTGTCCCAGGTCTACTGAAACCTCGCTCCAAACTACACATTGGAGCCTTCAACGTACGCACCCTATGTCAAATCGGTCAGCAGGCTTCCTTGGCTAAAACCCTAGAGTCTCTTTCCATTGATGTATGCTGTGTCTCCGAAACACGCATACAGGATTCCAGTGTGGTCATTCACTTGACCTCACCTCGGCAAACGGAGAGCCAACGAGATACACCCTTCGTGTATCTGGTGACCCGATGGCCAGTTCTCGTGGACTGGCAGGTGTAGGCATAGCACTAAGCATGAGGGCCGAACAAGCACTGCTAGAGTGGATCCCCGTCAACAGTCGTCTATGTGCTGTTCGGCTGAACGGCTACGTAAGAACTCGGAAGGATAGGGACACACGTCGTTGCCTTTTTGTCGTTTCTGCCTACGCTCCCACTGACTGCAGCTCAGATGAAGTGAAAGATGAATTTTACAGAAAGCTTCCGAACTTCTTCAGAAAGCTAAACGCTCAGACATAGTACTCGTAGGGGGATTTTAATGCTCAGATAGGTAGTTTAAACCAAACAGAAAGGCATTTAGGTGGATATTTTAGTATTCCGACACAGCGAACAGATAATGGTGATCGTCTGCTGCAGCTATGCTCAGACAATCGTTTATTTTTAGCAAACACAAATTTTAAGCATAAGGAGAGACATCGTCTAACATGGCGACCCCCTACACCAAACCAACGATGGACTCAAATAGACCATATTGCCATCAGTCATCGTTGGAGAGGGTCGGTAGAAGATTGTCGCTCATTCTGGAGTACCTGCTTGGACTCCGACCATGCCCTAATACGGGCACGCATCTGCTTGCGCCTCACTGGACGCAAAAAAGCCACATTAAAAAGACCCATTAGAACTGAGTTGAGTAACGAGAAAACCAAAAGTAGGTTCCAGGAACAACTGAGGTCACACTTAGGTAGTTGTGAAGACGAGGCTGACCCAGATGTTGCTTGGAAGACATACAAGCAGCTGTGGAAACAGCAGTGACATCTATTAGTGACTTAAACCACAGAGTTACAAAAACCAGTGGATTTCTTCAAGGTCTATCACACTGATGGATTCTCGCAAACTCGTCCCATCAGGTTCTGAACATGATGAAGAGCGACAACAAATCAGATCTAGGTTAAGAAAAAGTCTAAGGAACGACCGTGAGCAGTGGTGGGCAACGAAAGCAAAAGAGATGGAAAAGGCGGCGACTATAGGGAACACAAGACAGCTTTACAGACTAATAAAAGAAACTGGAATTAATAAGTCAAGTGTAAGTGAGATTATTTCGGAAAAAGACGATACTCTCATCTGCTCCCAGTCCAGACGTTTAGAACGATGGGCGGAACATTTTAGAGAACAGTTCAGCTGGCCTTCAGCTACTCTACAACTACCCTCCATTCCCAGACAGTGTGAATGGAACATTGAAGTAGGTCCCCCAACTCTTGCTGAAGTTGAGAAGGCTATAGTTAATCTGAAACGAGGAAGGGCAGCTGGTCCAGATGGACTGGCTCCAGAGGTCTTTAAGGATGGTGGTCCAATTTTAGCGATTAGGTTGACTAATATTTTAGCTAAGATCTGGGAGTTAGACGTTATCCCATCTGACTGGTCACAATCACTTATCGTCCCAATATATAAGAAAGGGTCAAAATCATCCTGTGACAACCACAGAGGGATTAGTTTAACTAATATAATATCTAAAATACTAGCCTCGATAATTATCAAACGCCTAACTAAGACTCGTGAACTGCAAACACGAGAGAACCAAGCTGGCTTTAGACCTGGTCGTGGCTGCATCGACCACATATTCACCATTCGTCAGATTCTAGAACACAGGCATACTTATCGGCGTCCGACAATGGTGGTCTTTCTTGACTTAAAAGCAGCATTTGACTCTGTAGACCGCGAGATTCTGTGGCAGTGTCTGTCATTGAAAGGCGTACCCCAGAAGTACATAAACCTTGTGAAGGCTCTTTACTCGAACACTACTAGTCGAGTCAGGGCTTATGGCGAACTGTCATCTACTTTTGCAACCTCAAGTGGTGTCCGTCAAGGCTGTCCACTTTCCCCATTTTTGTTTAACTTCATCATAGATCTACTGATGGAAATAACTTTCTCGTCGACTGAATTCTCGGGTATTGATCTCCTACCAGGAGGTCCACTTATCGACTTAGAATACGCAGATGACATAGTCCTGTTTGGTGAAGACGCTGACAAAATGCAGAGTCTTCTGGTAGCACTAAGCAACAATGCCAGAATGTTTGGAATGCGCTTCTCTCCCTCTAAATGCAAGTTGTTGCTTCAGGACTGGTCTGCGTCAACACCTGAACTAAGGATAGGGAGTGAAGTAGTCGAACGCGTTGACAACTTCACTTATCTTGGAAGTCTGATCAGCCCTAATGGGTTGGTGTCTGACGAAATCTCAGCACGGATTCGGAAAGCTCGTTTGGCTTTTGCCAACTTACGTCACCTGTGGTGAAGGCGAGATATCCGTCTATCAATAAAAGGACGAGTATACTGCGCGGCAGTCCGTTCTGTTTTAATTTACGGCAGCGAAACATGGCCATTAAGAGTAGAAGACACTCGTAAGCTACTAGTATTTGACCACAGATGCCTTAGAAATATTGCTGGCGTCTGCTGGGATCACCGGGTAAGTAATAGTGAGGTTAGACGCAGGGTATTAGGGAATGATGGTAAATCAGTTGATGAGGTTATGAATCTTCATCGACTGAGATGGTTGGGCCACGTGTTACGTATGCCTGAACACCGATTACCACGACGTGCAATGCTAACTAGTGTTGGGGATGGTTGGAAGAAAGTTAGGGGCGGCCAAACCAAAACGTGGCATCAGTGCTTGAAGACACTAACTTGTAGTCTGAGCCATGTTGGTAGATGCAGACTACTTGGTTGGGGTCCGCGTGACTATCGTAACCAATGGTTGGAGACTCTTGGTGACATGGCTCAGAATCGATCACAATGGCGTCGGTGTATACACTCACTGTCTTCTCTTAAACTAAGAGATTAAAATTGCTTCATATCTTTCTTTTTACGAACCAATTCTTTCTTCTTGTACTATATTTCTATATGCAATCTTTCTCTTATATATTACCACCTTTGACCTAACCACTGCTATGAATCCGGTGTTCATCTTGTTGTGCTGATGCGGTATGGCAACCTGGACCGATGCACATATGTGCCTGGTCCTACGTTGTAGCTGACTGACTGTTCAGGATCCTGTTTACGCTCTGCTTTTATAATTTGTGTTTACTTCTTACAGTTATGAATTGGTAAGACATTTCGAGAACTCTGAAGTTTAATGGTATTGTAGAGACGTCTTGAACATTTTCTCATTATATACGTTTCTAGAATTTTATTGACCAACTTCACTTTAATATTTGCCTTACGATCAACAAACAAATTTCCCAGTTGTTGTTATAGTTACCACTGAGTTGACAATGAATAATTAAATTATATGGTTTCCTTTACATCTTCACTGCCAACTGAATTACCATTTATCTCACGTATTCGATGTGCTCACAGTTAGTGGAACAGTAGTAGCCTAGTGGTTAAAACTCAACTTTTAACCAATAGGTCTCAAGTTTTAATCACTGTAAACTTTTTATTATTGATAGTGATCATAAATATGTACAGTTCCTTTGGATTATTAGTATACTACCTATGATTAGTCTGTTTTGTTTTGATGATACTTGTCACGATTAATAACATATTAATGTTATAATTTGTCCGGCATCGCCACTATCCCCTAATTATCGCTCTTTGTTCTCTGATTGCTTTCTCAATTTGTTGTTTGCTCACTTTTTCGACCAATTATATCAGTTGTGAAGCGTTCGTTCTTCCTCACAATTCATTACTTCAATGAATATTTATTTTAGGGTTTGTCGTTGGAATCAGAAAGGATTCGACTCTTTAAAGAGTATATTATTTCAATTGACAACTCAAATGAAGACTCTCACCGGTCTCGTAAAGATAAACACCTATGCGAAAGGTTGGTTTTTAAAGCATTTCTATAGGAGTTTTTATGGTTTAATCAACCTTTTTGCATTAGTGTATCAATTCCTCACTTATTTTTGAGGTTTCCTGTATAACATGGGAACTTTATTCCTGTTCTCTCTTAATAATTAATTTCATGGGGGTAGGCTGATTAATTTACAGACAACCGAATTGCTTACTGATATCAATTGTGGAGATCTTAAGAAATAATTGTAATCTGGCACATACAGCATCCATGTCCTTGTTCTAAAACTTTCCGAAATCTAAATTTAGAACCTTCATTTAGATTGTGCTCTACAGTGGAATCTAGTTGCTTCTGTCGCCCTATTATGGACGCGTTAACCGGATGTACCTGTATTCCACTATTGACGTCCATACTGAAGCTTGAACCTCAATGCCTGTCGCTTCAAACACTGACTCATTCATTGGGCTACTTAGTCTTGATAGAGCCACTAACTTGTGCAACGCGTACATAGGTAATCTTTCGTTGTTTATATTCTAGACTTCACATGTCTATACCATGGTAATCCTCCTAAGTTGAACATTTGAAAGCAAAAGCTGATCAGTTATAGTCTCTGTATATCAACAACGGGGAATTATGAATCCTTATTAATTCATTTTATATTTTATAGTGAGTGTTGCCACTAAGGACACGATATCAAATCTAGGGGGACTAGATAGATCAAAAAGCAAGGCAAGAAAACAATTTTGAACAAGGAATTAAAGTAATGATGGGCGTCACTACATAAGATACGTCAACCTTAAGTACGGGAACTGAGAATTAGACGAAACGGAAATTTTTACTCCTCTTCATATGAATATATTATAGACATTAATGTAGAGAGAAAATTAATGGTCAGTCTTTGCAGTAGTGATTATACAATCACGAGAAAGATAAAGACATTTTGAAGAGACGTTTACGCTACGAAGGACCATGAACGACAATGACGTTGTTTTGTAAATTTCCAAAAATAAATTAATTCAAATAAAAAAAACATATTCACCTTTTATAACTGACAAATACACTTTAAAGCGGCGCTTGTTTTATTTTTCTAAGCTAGCGATTGCTTCGGTTAAACAAATGATGATTAAACTGCGGTAAGTAACAAACTATCACATCTTTACACTAGTTATATTTCTGTTCAGAAATATCACCGTTGTAAGTAGTTTTTCTGACTATGAACTTTGCCTTTTTTTAATTAGTGGTATATAGTTGGTAATTTATCAACATATGTATTTACCTACATGTAGGTCTGCTTCTATTCAAGATGTTGAAAAAGATGTCGATGCAGTGAAAGATCAGAAAAAGAAACAAACCGTTTCCCCTTCCCCAGCTCCTTCAGAACATAGTCATACTCGTAGGTCGGACGACGAAAGGGGATCATCACAGAAACGTAAACATCGTAAATCAAAGAAATCAAAACATCGCAAATCAAAGCACCATAAGCATCACAAAAATACAGATAAGCGTCAAGATGAAGAATTAGAAGAAGGAGAAGCTGCTGATGATGATGATGAAGATGATGAAGCTGTGAATCCTCAAACAAGTGATCGTGTCAATCCCCTCAGTGGTAGTAAACGTCATCGTCATCATCGACGTGGCCAACGCTCTCGGACGTCTGACCCTGAGGATGGTGAAGAGGTGGACAGTACTAGTGATGGAGAATTTTATGACCGTGATTCAAAGCGTAAAAAACGTTAGTATTGTAAAACGATCTTATATACATTTTTTGGTTGTGTACATAATAGCATATCATTCTGTTAGATTGTTTTTGTCCTTTCTGACGTTGAAAAGTTTTTATTGATCCATTTCAGCATCAGGTCTGCTGGTATCGCTATACTTCGTGCAAACTTTATTTGTTCTTTGATAGTTCACTTTAAAAAGTTTCTCTCTATATCTGTTCTATGTAAGTAACTAGTCAAAACGTCCCATTCTAAACAAATCTGGCTATTCGTGGTAGTTAAATTTGGATTCTTGTTTAGATTAGAAGTGATTTTGGGATGATGGTCGGTTACGTTATTTGCTTGTAATTTACAGGATGAATATCTTACGACTAGTTAGTAAGGGCAGTTAGTGTTTTCTGTTAAACTAAAGGTCTTAAACTATTCCGTTGCCTTTTCTTTGTGACTTCTTCCTAGGATTTTAATCAACAAGTGGGGATTAAGAAACTATCGAGCAGTATATATTATTATTTTGTTATTGGTAATAATTTTGTCACGAAGTTAGTTTGTGGTTCCAACTCAGTTTATCAACTGAGGTATAGGTTGTTTATTTTCTGATGATCCCATCTGTTTTGGAGATGTTTATTTTTATTGTGCTGATTGGACAAATAAACATGTAGAGTTCAGGTTATACTGTAGTTCGCCTTTAGTTTATTGCTATCGGATTATTTAGCTGCCAAAGTGTTCTCAACTGAATAGTATAATTTTTCGTGTTGTCTTGTTAGACACTCAGTACGTATACTTTCAATTACAGCACATCTGTGAATACTGGTTGTTTAATACCTTAATAATAATGTCTTGCACTTCTGCTTCGATAGTTGAGCACTATCAATACGGCACCTTTAAAAATTTGAGCTTCAATCAACCGCTACCTGTGTAAGAGCTTCTGGGCAAATGTTTTATTCGTACAATAGTATTATTTTGGTTCAATACTCAGACTAACTTAAGTATCGTAGTTTATGCTGAAAGTTCATCACTTCATCTTTTGTATTTAAACATTTAATGTAATTATTTATATAACTTTTATAAATGAACGGCTGTTTTACATCAATAAACTACGATGGATGAGACACCAACTTTATTGTTGCATTTCAAATCACAGGATTATGAACCGAATTTTAGTCAGAATAGGTAACTGGATGAGTGCATCATCTCATTTATACTTGTTAATTATCAAAACCGGTAATGAAATTTTCATAATACGGAACGTTTGTATTACTGGTAACAGGTTTTTGAGCCATAGTTTCGGATACGCTGCAAACATGAAATATAATCACATTTAAGTTTTACGGGATGCGCTGTTTGGTTGCTTAGATTTCGGTAGGTCGTACAGTTCATATACTAGTTCGAAACCTGAATATCTGTGGGCGTGACCTGATACAATTATGAGTGTTCCTTTCGTAACATTTGTTTGTTTTTGCGTTACGTAATACCACTGTGTCTTCCCAGATTTTGTTCTCCTGTTTATGCATTTTACCATCATGATGATGGAACAAACAGATAATCTGTTCAATTATATGTTTTTTACACCCATCCCTCACTTTTCAACTCATATCATTCTTGCTCATTAGTATCGAAGACGAGTTTTTCCACGCATAAGATGGGGATTAAAACCCTTTCGTTTACTCTTCCTTCCATCGATAGCAGAAACCAGATTATTTTGAGTAGGTTTTTATTTAGATTTTGAAATGGAACAGTTGGAGCGTAAGGTCATATAGTGTTTGAAAGTATTTGAATTATCGTATGAACTAGGAATCCCAGAATTAATGCAATCGAATCAAGAAGTACTGGACAAGCACGAACGAATGTATTGTATTTAGAATTCGAAATCAAGCATTCCACAAGTACAAAAGAATCATTAGTTAATTCAAACACCACATTTCATCCTTTTTAAACAACTTTTTTCAACATCCAATATAAAATAATAAGGATCTTCTGCCATAGGGATGTCTGCTCTATCAATTTGTCAGACAGAAACGTCATTTCAGTTACATTAATATATTCTGAAATAGCAAAATGTTACACGAGACATGCCAGTTTTTACAGCCCGATAAGGCATTGCTTACTGGTCTTTTGTTTGACTCCCAATCGATGACAGTCAACACCCGGTCAGTATTCGGTGATACTGCACAGATGTAAAGTTTGTTGTCTCGTATGTATCTTCCACAAATTGTCGCACATGACTGGCTAAACACGTCCTCTATATGTGGACTAGAGCCTGTGAGAGAATGGAATGTAAGAAAGTGGAACACTAATATCTGAGGAAGTGTCGCCAACGGGCTGCTCAACAACACATTGGCGAGGTACATTTTTCCATGCCATGTCTGACTATTAGGTGTTTATTCACCTGCCTCTTGGGTCACCCTCAAGTAAAAGGTAACGAAGAATCTATATCGATAAAAAATCCTTAAAGTTAGTCAAACAAGAGAAATTCCCGCACTGATTGTATGGAATAATCAGATGCAAAAATAGGTTGTCAAATTGTGAGCGCTAAATGCTTGGTCCCGTATAAGCGTTTGGATTCCAGAACGAACTAAAGGGAATAGACACGGTGTAAACATCTCTGACACAAATGCATTAAAGCAGGGAGCCACTCTTTTTTTAAATACTTGTGTGAGCCTATCGGCATTTGAATTTATCACAAGACTCAATCAAATATATGACGTCGAGTTTGTAACGACCATCTTTTGTAATCTGGCTTGTGTCCGCCGACCAGAAAAATTAGCAAATAAGATTTGGAAAAAGACAATAGCAGTCCTCGGTCGAATAGGCTTTTTAGGGTCAACGCTATCATCATAACCTTACAGACGAACCGTTCGGATGACTTGGTGATAATATGCATATTATTCTGTGACCACACGATGCCTAAGATGAAATTCATTGACTCCCTCAGGCTCTATGAATGCTTATGCGGGCCTTTCGATTAAAGGAATATTACACGAAATCTTCAGCGATTCAATGGTAACGTATAGGGTGGTCTCAACCACGTCCTCGCGTACGGTATGACCGCTTGATCCCAAGTCTGGACGGAGAATCTCATCGTCAGTATCTGAACTTTGTTTATGGCTCCGAAAACACAACATTACGTAGTCATTCAAAAATGTTGAACCGAAACCAATTGTTTAGATTTTCACCAGGACATTTCTGGCACTCAAAGCATTCGCTCTCTGTAAAGCGATTTGTATACCATCCTGAACAACTCCGAGCCGTCCACAGTCAGGCGGTTAGGCATGTTTAAGAGCGTAGTAATTCTCCATCGACGGCCCATAACAAATTACGTGTTTTTCATAGTAATAATAATACATTTCTGGCCGAGCAGGTGCACGCCATTTTACATTCATGATCAATAAATCGTAACGTTGGTTTGCAGATATGATCTTTCTCAAGCAGGGTTGTTAAACAAATAAAATAAATGACAGAGAAGACATACTGGTAAGTAAATAATAAGGTTTATTCGCTGGTAGTGTACAATAAGTACAGTTCTTACTATCCGTTTCAAGAATGAGAACGTTGTGACTAGAAGAAGTGTCAAGCAGATTTAGACTCAGAATTCACGTGTAGGAATGGTGTTGCTGCTAAGTGCTCATGCAATATAACTGTTTGAGAAGTCCATAGTTATTGTGATGCAGTTATTTGGGGTGATTGGTATCACTTGTAACCTTGAAAAATACATGCAAAGAGGTTTGTCTCAAGTTTGTTCCAGGCGCAAGAAGTTCCATATTTGTACATCGACATAATGATACCGAAAAATACAGAGGAACAGGAAGACATTTAGACGTACAACTTAAACAGAGCTCAACGGTTTTTAGTACAGCAGACAAATTATGGTGATTTCCAGCCTTCCGACTTTAGGGAAGCTACCCTATAAAGTCTTGAGGTATTGCTACAAAAGTCTTTCCCGGTCTAGGAGTCTTCGAGAAGACTTCAAGTTATTCTGAGGGAATGCTGAAAGTGTTTGCGCTTTCCACAATGTTTCTGAAAACTTTGAGGAAGCCCACCCACGCTCTTTGGTAAAACCCCAAAACTTTTCCGTTTTCAGGAAAGCATTGAGAGGCCCACAGAACTTACTATGTGTAGAATTATGGTCTACTACGATATCTGTACAGCTTTAGTAATATTTCTAATCCTAAAATTTTAGATTTGTCATGATATAACTGCCTAATCTATAAGATTTTACTTGGAAGTCATATCATCGTCTGCACCAACTCGCTGCATCGTAACAATTACCAATATATGATGGAGAATAAGCTTATGCTAGAGATAGAACAATATATTTATTATGAGTAAAATATAAGGTAAGATTCAACAGGGACCACTCCTGCACTTTTGAGACTATTACACCATTGTCGTCAACACTAACTTCTTTGTTCTCGTACATCCACCTGGCTTGTGAAGACATTTTCCTCGGAATTAAGTGGATGGTTCCCTGGAAAACAATATGATGTATACATGTAATCACAGTTTATTCATCATATTGAAGTAGTTCTGTATCGCAACATTCGTGATTGAAACCGTTGTATATTAGCATCGCATGAATAAAAGTTTGTGTTGTAAATGAAATCGTAGATTAAGGCAATTAAAAAGCACGAATAAATTTTCAGGATTCATTCACGTCTTTATATTCGTCCTCGTCGGGATTGAGTTTTTGGTATGTTTATAACATAGAAGTTAAACTCTCGTTAAAAGTTCCACAAGCGGAAAAAGTTTACGTAATATTAAACAAATGGCTTCTGTTATAGCAGTCATAGGACCTGAGAATCGACATTACCACAGCATAAATATAGCGTAGATTAGGTACGGCAACTAGTGTAAAAATGTTGCTTACAGCGAGCACTTGCGAAGCCAGCTGGAAATGGAATGGGCAGTGAATAATACTTTCAAGATTTACCATTTATCAGCAACTGATAAAAACAGATTCAAATATCCAATAATAAAACTAAACTGCACTCAGCTCAATTTTTCTTTGGGTCACCATCCACG